CGGGGCAAGTAGCACGGGCTATGGTGAGCCCGTAGAGTCTGTGTGTGTGTGTCACACACTCAGACTCACATCCCCAGGATGCAGCCCGTAGCAGCTGTCTAACTCCCAGGTACCTATTTACTGCTAGGTGAACAGGTGCATCAAGGAGAAAGAAACTACCCATTTTGTTCTGCCTCTCCCGGGGATCGAACTCGGGCCCTTTGGACTACGACCCCAGAGCGATGTCCACTTAGCCGCGAGGCCCTCAAAGGCCCCCCCCCCCCCCCACACACACACACACACCATGTGTGTGTGTGTATATGTCTGTGTTAGGGGTTGGAGTATTTGTGTGCGTGTTCGTGTGAATCAGTTGATATGTGAGTCGATACGAGTTTGTATTTACGTGTGAAGATGGGTGTGAGTGCGTAGGAGGGTGTGTGAAGTGTGTGTGGGTTGGCGGGTGGTTGTCTGCGTGAGGAAGCAGTCATCAACGCTTCGAAAGGTTAGAGTTCGACTTTGAAATACTCATTCACTAGCAACCCTTGACTTGGTAAAGGTCGGGTAAGGCCTATGTCCCTTGGTGTAGGGGCGGTTAAATATTAATGTTACTTGTTGACACATGGGGGTTGGGGGAGACCAAATGGATATAGCTAGTTTATACACCATAACTAGAAGGGTGTGGCAAGTGTACACTAACTTGCAGTGATTAGAAGTTGTGAAGTGTCATGGCTTGATGTAGGAAGTAAGAGAAAGTTGGCGAGGGACTCGGCTTGGTGCAGAAAGTTGGCGAGGGCCTCAGCTTGGTGTAGAGAGTAAGAGAAAGTTGGCGAGGGACTCGGCTTGGAGCAGAAAGTTGGCGAGGGTCTTGGCTTGATGTAGAAAGTAAGAGAAAGTTGGCGAGGGCCTCGACATGAAGCGGTATGACAGAAGACAGAGCGGGACAGGTGTGTGATTCCCCAGCACCTGAGGCCTCATTAATAAGAGACTCGTGGCGATAATTAATAGACCAGATTTCATAACTCATCCTTAGACTTCATAGAAATTAATGATTATGAAAAGCATATATAAATACATGTATATATATAATGTACGTATGTATAGATATACACATACCTATGAGATAACCTCTGAGTGAATGACTGCATATCATTCGCTGTCTAGAATGTCTTCGGGATATCCTCACCGACATTTGCAGTTGGAATTGTCTGGGGTACGGGACGGACATATTTTAGTTGGTGTTGGCCTATATTAAATGCTTTAAAAAATATTAGCAATTATATGCACCCCTCCCCCACCCCCTTCCCCTGGCGATTTTCATGCGGTCACGTGTGAAACATGGAGGGGAATTCTGTGGAGTTCTTAGTTTCCTGGGAGACCTTTTCAGTAGTTTCATTGCCTCTTAATACAGTTTCTGAGAGAAAGGGAAGATGCGGGAGGAGGAGCGGAGTGATGTAAGGGAGGACAAAGATAATGGGGACAAGGGAGGGGTTAAGGGGTAGACAGATGTAGGACACTATAGGGGGGACCTATGGCAACACCGTCCTAACTTGTCTTCTTTTTTCTTTCTTAAGTTGCCTAAAGTAAATTTAAAGCTGGTGTCTTCCTCACACCCTGGATAAAAAAAAGAGGCTTGAATGCAAGGAATTCCCAAAGACGCTCACTAGGAAGGAGAAAGCAGTTTGGAACGGCTTTGTCGCAGTGGTTCGGGGCCTTCCTGAACAATCTCAAATCCAAAAACTACGTTTAGCAGTATAAGACTACGACACAGTCTAGTGGGCACAGTACCGAAAAGTAACGTTAATTCAACATTGAACCAATGCTCCTAATTAAGTCAACATTGAACATTGCAATGCTTCTAATTAAGTCCATCCCCCTCCCACAGACCGGGACTCTCCACCCCCCCCCTGCCTCTCCCCATCACCCTCCCACAGACCGGGACTCTTCCCCCCCCCCCCCCTGCCTCTCCCATCACCATCCCACAGACCGGGACTCTTCCCCCCCCCCCCCTGCCTCTCCCATCACCCTCCCACAGACCGGACTCTTCCCCCCCCCCCCCCTGCCTCTCCCATCACCCTCCCACAGACCGGGACTTCCCCCCCCCCCCCTGCCTCTCCCATCACCCTCCCACAGACCGGGACTCTCCCCCGCCCCCCCCTGCCTCTCCCATCACCCTCCCACAGACCGGGACTCTCCCCCGCCCCCCCTGCCTCTCCCATCACCCTCCCACAGACCGGGACTCTCCCCCCCCCCCTTGCCTCTCCCATCCCCCCTCCCACAGGCCGGGACTCTCCCCCCCCCCCTTGCCTCTCCCATCCCCCCTCCCACAGGCCGGGACTCTCCACCACTGGTACTCTCTCCCACAACCTCTACAGGTCAATTGTTGATAGACGTAATGTCTTGACCTGCGTCCTGTGTCTTGTCTTCCTCCCAGCCCTTCCCTTCCATCCATTATCTCCCTGCTTCTCTTCCCTTCCTGCCTGCCTCCCCATTCCCGCATACTTCCTGCATTCCTACATTCCTTGCCTCCCAACCCCTCACATTCCTTCTCTTACTCCGGGATGCAACCCTGTCCTCTTAAAAAGAACGTCGCTTTTGGCCGTTTGCCCGTATGGCCGAATTTGAACGTAATTTGAAAATTAAAAAACATGAATAAATTTGGGATTTTTTTTTTCAACAACAGTAAGTTAAGGGTCCTCTGATAGGTCAGGTGGGCAGGAAATTCTCATAAAGTTTCAAAACGTTATGAAAAACGTGAATTGAAAGTCATCTATTCTAACCTTACAGCGTCGGCCGGACGACTCAAACAGAAAACGGAACAGTACGTCACTTTTGTGAGTCGATTTCATTTCAAATTACGTCCAAATTTGGCCATAGCGCGCATACGAGCCAAAAGTGACGTTATTTTTAATAGGACGGGTTGCTCTATCTCCCTCCCTCCCTCCCTCCCCCTCCCTGAATCCTTCACCCTAACCATGTCTCTCTCCCCCTTTATTGCCTACCTCCACATTTCTGCATACCTCACCATACCTGCTTCCTTACCCATCCCTGCCTCTCTCCATCCTGCCTTCTTCCTTCCCTCCCTCCCCCTGCCTGCCTCCCTACCTCCGTGCCTGCCTGCCTCCCTCCCCCCGTGCCTGCCTGCCTCCCTCCCTCCCCCCCTGCCTGCCTGCCCCCCTCCCTGCCTCCCTCCCTCCCTCCCTCCCTCCCTCCCTCCCTCCCTCCCTCCCTCCTCCCCCCCCTCCCTCCCTCCCTCACCCCGCTCCCTCCCTCCCTCCTCCCCCTCCCTCCCTCCCTCCCTCCCTCCCCCCTCCCTGCCCGCCTGCCTCCCCCCCCCTGCCTGCCCGCCTGCCTCCCCCCCCCTGCCTCCTCCCTCCCTCCCCCCCCTCCCTGCCTCCCTCACCCCGCTCCCCCTCCCTCCCTCCTCCCCCTCCCTCCCTCCCTCCCCCTGCCTGCCCCCTGCCTCCCCCCCTGCCTCCCCCCCTGCCCCCTGCCTGCCTGCCTGCCTCCCCTCCCCCCCTGCCTCCCCCCCCCCCTGCCTCCCCCCCCCCTTCTCCCTCCCTCCCCCCCTGCCTGTCTCCCTCCCCCCCTGCCTGCCTCCCTCCCCCCCTGCCTGCCTCCCCCCCCTGCCTGCCTCCCCCCCCCCCTGCCTCCCCCCCTCCGCCTGCCTGCCTCCCTCCTGGCAGGTGACAACACCTGCTGGTCGCCAGGTGCTCCTGTGCTCACATGCGTCTACTTTCTCACGCTCCTGTCAGGAGCGTCGATAGTAACATAATCATATCTTTAGGCTTCTCGGTGCTGGCTTGCCATAACACCCCCTCTTCCCCTGCCCCTCAGCCCCCACCCCCTCAACCCCCACCCCCTCAACCCCCACCCCCCTCAACCCCCACCCCCTCAACCCCCACCCCCCTCAACCCCCACCCCCTCAACCCCCACCCCCCTCAACCCCCCCACCCCCCTCAACCCCCACCCCCCTCAACCCCCACCCCACCCCCTCAACCCCCACCCCCTCAACCCCCACCCCCTCAACCCCCCCCCCTCAATCCCACCCCCCTCAATCACCACCCCCCTCAATCCCCACCCCTTCAACCCCCACCCCCCTCAACCCCCACCCTTCAACCCCCACCCCCTCAACCCCCCACCGCCTCAACCCCCCACCGCCTCAACCCCCCACCGCCTCAACCCCCCACCGCCTCAGCCCCCCACCGCCTCAACCCCCCACCGCCTCAACCCCCCCACCGCCTCAACCCCCCACCGCCTCAACCCCCCACCCGCTCCAACACCCCCCCCCCTCCCCCCCCCCCCTCAGTCTCCGGCAAGGGTGCCATCGTCCAGGAGCCAGAGGTGCAGCTCGCCTGTTACACTATCAGTGACCTTTTTTATGGCTAAGCGCAATAGGACGGGGGCTAAAGAGGCCCTGATGGACACCTTCACACGAGCCTATGTCATGTTCCCCGGAGAGAAGCATGAAGCCACCACTGCAACATGATTGGATGGGTGGATAAGGAGGAGAGAAATGGCTGCGAACAGCTCGGAGAACAGCATCACTTTGGGCTTGATTGAAGACCTTTAAAAAATCAATCTTGGTTATTTAAATCAAGCTTTCTCGTCTGTGGAAGTGGATACGAATGCTCGAATTACATACAGTTACAGACTAGGGGGATCCCAAACTCCAAGCTGATTAGGTTTTATCAAGACGGCTGCTACCATTCCAACTGTGAGGTTCAGATCCTGAACTCATTATGTGCCTCTGTAACCCTTTAACAACCGCCCCCGGAATGGGTATGGGATGCATAATAAATGACTAAACTCAACCAGCTGGCTGATCGAACCGCAGCTACGGCGTCGGTGGGAGTAGCCAATGTGTTTGGTAAGCACAGGTAAGCTATACCACACTACCACAACCACTAAAGAAAGGAAAATTATTCCACAATTCTGTCTAGATCTTTACACATATGCAATATTATAACCATTTATATTTGATCCATCATCACTACTGCTCTAAATCATAGTTTGTCTTCCAGGTCCGCCCACCACCATAATGGTCAACATGAATGTCCGCTCAATGGGACCCTTCTCCGAGAAACAAGAGGTAAGCTCAGTGTCTCCTGTGGGCACCATTCCTTCCCACCGTCCCATCCCAAATCTTTATCCTGACCCCTTCCCAGTGCTATATAGTCGTAATGGCTTGGCGCTTTCCCCTAAAAATTTCCTTACCTCAGTGCCTCCTGGCCATCTCTCAGTAGACTAGAGTAATGATCATCTTTCTCTTGAATTGCGTTTGCTCTCTAGTAACTACATATTCGTGAGTAACTGCATTTGTGAATCACGGTTTGTTCAGACCATTTAGGTGATAAGTGTTTTTGTTACATATTCCCAGGCTATAATATTTACTTGTAGTCAGTTTCGGTTGCTGTCCAAACACGAGTTATTCCTCTTTTCTTATGTTTTTGATCGTACATCATTTAAGACAGAAATAAATCACAAATATTTGAATGGTTCAAGCAAATTTTTTAAAAATATCTTCTTAATGGTTTTAAAAAAACAGTGGACATTATTGTTATTCAGTTATGTTAATTCACATTTTACCTGTGTGTAGGCTTTTTATAATTAATGTAATTGGGATTAAATACCATGTAAAGGCAATTTCTTGAAAATTGTATGCACTAGTTTAGACCTAATTCTTGGAACAATGATTTAATCTGGAACTAGAGACTTCACTGTGGACACTGTCAGACCTCTGTGGGGCCTCGTAGCCTGGTGGATAGCGCGCAGGACTTGTAATTCTGTGGCGCGGGTTCGATTCCCGCACGAGGCAGAAACAAATGGGCAAAGTTTCTTTCACCCTAAGTGCCCCTGTTACCTAGCAGTAAATAGGTACCTGGGAGTTAGTCAGCTGTCACGGGCTGCTTCCTGGGGTGTGTGTGTGTGTGGTGTGGAAAAAAAAAGAGTAGTTAGTAAACAGTTGATTGACAGTTGAGAGGCGGGCCGAAAGAGCAAAGCTCAACCCCCGCAAAAACACAAGTAGTAAACACCTAAACACCTGAATATTATTCTTGAAACTGCGCAACACATCAACAAACTGTTTTGATCTTGTTTACAAGTGTTTGAATTCAAAGTCAATATATATTGTAGTCATTACATTGCCATTGATCTTTCTGATCTCAATACACTGTGCAACGAATAATGTAACACTTTCTCAACCAACCTTCCTAAAATGATGGTACTTATGACCAACAGTCAATTTTTGTACGTTTGACAAAACAGTTGCTGTAAGTATTCCCTGGAAATACAAACCGAAATTCTCTATTTTCCGCTTGTTACAACTTGTAATAAAGTTGTTACATATTGGCTTAACGTGTTTATGACGTATTAGAACGTTGTTATAACTGGTTAGGTGTTAAAACTTATTCGAACGTTGTACCAATGTCGTAATTTCGGTGTGTGTTTAGCGGGTTATCATTGTTGGAGGAGAGGCTGAGTCTCATGCAGCACTAGCGAGCTATTGTTAAACAGCCTTCTGGTCTTGTCTCAGGCACAGCCTCACCTGAATAGTGAACCTTCTCTCAGTCAGGAATCCTGGGTTCGAATCCCAGGTGGGTGTGAAATGGTTGAGGGCATGTTTCTTATCATCCAATGCTTCTGTTCACCTGGCAGTAAATAGGACTGGGGAATAGTTAACTGTTGTGGGGTTGCATCATGGAAGGATCGGAAGTTCGACCTTCAGGGGGTGGGACCCAGAGGTCCATACATACACAACCAGAAGTGATACGCCCTATATATATTTTGTATGATGTGTACGTGATACATAATATACATATATTTGAACGTCTCTAGCGTTTGTTCTGTCAGTTAAGTTTACGCAACCAAAGCCATCTAGAGACTGGCTTGCTCGCTTCACCTCTCGATCTATCTAACTTTACCATCTAAGCCACCTGGGAGACACAGTGCTTTGACCTTCTCTCTCTCTCTTTGTCCTGCCTCTCTTCCAGCCCCTTTAACTTTCTCTTCCGCAGGTCACCCTTTCCCTCATCTCCTCTCTCATCCTCTCCACTATCTCTTCATTGTTACTCATCTCTCTCTCTCTCTCTCTCTCTCTCTCTCTCTCTCTCTCTCTCTCTCTCTCTCTCTCTCTCTCTCATCCTCTCCATTATCTCTTCCTTATCATTATAATGATTCTCTATGGTCAAGTTGTTAATAACACTAGTTACTATAACAGTTATCTTACCCTTTCAAAGTAGGATACATAAATATACGTGTGTATGTGTAAATATACGTATGTATACGTATATGTGTAAGCTAGTTAGAAATGCATTTCACCTTTTGTAAATGCACATTAATCTCATTATGTATTGTATTAAACAATTAACATACTTCGAACGCTGTTTATGTAGGACCGACGTAAATGTATGCATTTATGTCTGTCGGTTTGATTAGCATTTTTAAAGCTCTACAATCACCTAATGTGGTTGAGTGTTCAAATGAATCACTAAACTTTGTCTAACAGATTAATAAACCTGTCCAGTGGAGGACAGAATGTATGCTTATATGCTGGTTAGAACTGTAAATGTGTGGCCACGTCTGTGGTAGGAGAACAAAAGCCCTTCCTTCCCTTCCCTTTCCCCTCCCCTTTCCCCTTCCCCCTCCCCTTCCCTCACTCCTTCCCCCTCCCCTTCCTTCTCTCCTGGCTCTTCTTCTTCCTTACTGCCTTCTCTCACCACATCGCACATTATTCCTCTTCTCTTTTCTCTTAACTTCCATATTCCGGTACTCTTCCAACTTCTTAAGAGGGGGGGGGGGGGGGGGGAGTTACGGTGAGTTTCCATGAATGTGTAACTTGTAGCTTCGTTATTCGTACCCGTTGTGTTCGTACCTGCCTTGTTTGATACCTGCGTTGTTCGGTTCCTGCGTTGTTCGGTACCTGCGTTGTTCGGTACCTGCGTTGTTCGGTTCTTGCGTTGTTTGATACCTGCATTGTTTCATACCTGCATTGTTTGATACCTGTATTGTTTGATACCTGTATTGTTTGATACCTGCGTTGTTCGAAACACGCTGCTTAACAATCGGTGTCTGAGGCTTCAATCTGTATTGACAAAAATGATAATACTTAAACTCAATTTTTTTCTGAAAGAATCGATATTTTAACATTTTCTTTTGCAAGATGGACCCGCCATGAATAAGACTGTAGTGAGGCGCTGACATATAACCTCAGCCTCGACATATGGCACGAAAGTGTCAACTTTTCAGTCCGTTCTGGTCCCTCAAGTCCACGATGGACCAAAACGTCATAGCACGCATTTCACTTCATATGTGATGGTTCAACGACGTTGTTGTGTCTTGCTCGTTGCATAGAGAAAGCTCCTTCATGTTCACTTGTATCGTGTGACTGGACTTTTGTTTTTTCTGTCACTTGCATTTCCAAGTTCCCATGCGTTGTGAAAATTAATATATTATTTATATTATTTTTAATATTAATTTTAATATTATTTGTATATATTATTGGTGTAAGTTTTTTTTTTGTTTTAAAAGAATGAACACTATATTGAATATATATTGAACTTTATTGGGGCAGAAATTTTTTTGGGCCGAGTTGTTGCTCCAAATACTTTTTTTTCTATCCGCCACAAAAAATATTTATTATTTATATATATATATATATTTTATTTTTATTTTTTTATTTTATTTTTTTTTTTTACCAAAGGGTCACATCGTGCAATTGTTTCCTCTCATTTAAAGGTCAACAATAATGATGACAGCGAAGCCTCCCAGGTGACGCCCCGAGACAATAGATGTTAATTAAATACTTTTATTACCAGTCTGCCTTACTACAATAACATGTGTTCAGCTACATTTTATAAAAACAAAATCTGTGAACCTTGAACTAATCAAATTTAGTTTCCATTTTCATTTTCCAGGTGTTGGTGAAACCATTTTTTCTTTCTTTTACCACAGCCAACACAAATATTTTTTTATATTGCTCAAGTTATTGTGACATTTATGACATAAAGTTTTCGTCTTTTATTAAGAGTAAAAGATTAATTTATTAGAATATGTTTATATTTTTGTATTGTATATAATTTAAAAGGATTCATAACAAAGTTTAAGTTTTAAGGGATTGACAGTCAATTTTACGTTTATATTTGTTTGTTTGATGGCTGCGTCATAGAGAAGATTAATGGGACATAGTGGAGATAATAGAGGTCACAGCTGTTACAATGGTGGCAATTCTTGTCATAATAGAGGAGTTAGGACTTGGGTCACAGTGAAAATTATCGAGTTATAACTCTCCTAACTGCAGTCATTGATCTAATAATGATTATAATTGCCCATTACTACTATTTGGTCGACCTTCTCAGTGGCATTATGAAGCCTATTAGCGTGGATACGTGTAAGAAAACAAGTACAACTCACAGTACTTGACTAGAGATCATAGATACATATTAATTCGCGATAGGAATAATGTAGAGAAAATTGCTCCACAAACTCATGATCGTTCAGTCTTAGAGAGAAGTCTAACATAAACTGCACAATCTCTTTAATTAATGGATATAGGTCGTGCACCTCCGAATCGAACCTTGGGAAGGGGATTCCAAGTTGTGGAGTTCGTCGTTAAATTATTTAATGTGGCTAGCACTGTGTTTGGCTACAAAAAAAAACGGCAGTATTAAACGGAAATGGATTCTCTGAACTTCCTGGGTTATTTTTAAACAATATCCAATACTGTAAATGGTTGGGCATTTACTTATGTTGTGTCATTGGAATTCTATACAGATCAGAGGGACATATACGTCAAACTGAAAACCAAATTATTACTTAATACCTGTAATGGTTACGTCACAGCTCTGCCTTAGCCTCTCACTGCAGTAAGAACTTGAGATTATACGGGAATCCTAATCAGGTTTTCAAAACTAATGTGTGTACTTTCCTGTACACACATTAGTATGTAATATCGTTGAAGACATGCTGTGTTGTTTACACACACGCCCACTCCTCTATGTGGCACTTGAAATAATTCACTGTCTCTTCTCTTCACCCCAAGAGGTCAGCAATCCTGGCACGTTGACCAACATGTAACCGCCTCTACAGCTCTTG